CCAAGGAGCATTTAGGTCAGCATTTTTGTTGAGATTCAAGACTAATTATCTTGAAAACATGCATGGCTACCCTAATTTTTCTTTGTAGATTCCAATAGCCCTTGTAAAGATCTACTTTTTCCACGTGGTCCTAACCTGGTGCAAAAACCTTTGTATTTAGTAGGCACTGTCCTTAAGGCAGTCATCCACATAAACGTTCTTCTTTACAGTCTTCATAACTTCTTCGTCAAATTCGCCAATGTTATCTTCTGTTGCCTTCTTGAGAGCAAAGTTGGAACAAGCTGGGGATGAGGTGGCGCCAATTAAGTGAACCTCCATGCAGTAGTAAACTGGTTCTTGATCCAGATCATTGTCTGACCACCAGAGAAATCTAAGTGCATCATAATCATCTGGTGACACTCTCACCTGGTGGAACAGTCATGGCTTCCACGTCTGCTGTGAGAGCTACTTGCTCTTGACGAAATCTTGTTAACACACCCACAATACTGTTAGTCAGGTCTGGTCCACTGAGGAGTTGGTCGTTCAAAGACATCCCTCTAAACTTTGTAGTGAAATCAAAGACCATTCTCATTTTTCCAGGTTTGTTGGAGTTAAACACAGGGTGATGGGGGAAATACCACAGTGGTTTATCATCGATGACGAGCTCGTCTTCTGGAACTCTCTTTGCATGCCCCTTGATCATGTAATCTCCAATGGTTGCTTTGTATTTTTCAAACAGCTCAGAATCTTGCAGGAATATCTTCTTCAACAGCTGTAGTCTTCGTTCTGCCATGATCCGATTGTTGGGAAGTTTAGGTGCTGGCTTCCTCCATGGAAGAGCCAGTTGATAGTGGCCATCAACCAACTTGACTGAACTCTCCTTTACTGCTAAAGCCCTTTCGTCTTCAATGGACATGGAAACCTTTCAATCAGGAATCACACCAGCATTGTCTGTCTTCCAGCAGTGAATGAATGAATTTGTTGCCACGCCTTTCTATTAGTACCCAGAAGGCCTCTGGGACATTGCATCCAATGATCAGGTTGACCTTAGTCTCATCGATGCTTGGCAAATTGATGTCTTGCAAATGAGGCCGTCTGCTAATGTCTTGGTTGGTTGGAATGCTGTGGCTCGAGGTGTTTGCCTTTTCAACAGTCCACAATCTCTGGATTTCTAACTTGTCTGACCCGTCAGTGGCTTCAACTGTTAAGCTTAACTCTTGACCAAACTTAGGACTATCTTGCTTCTCTTGCATTGTTAAGTAGAACATTCTCTGTACTTCTTGAATCCCCAGCTGTTCTGCCAGGCCTTTAGCACACAAGGAGACATCTGATCCAGTATCAAGGAGGGCATAGGTCAACAGTTCCTTGTTTGAGTTCTGACTATGAACCTTGACCAGCTCTATCCTGAGGCATACTTTCCCACTTCCGGCTAGGGTAGTGCTCGATTGTCCAGGCTGGGCAAGCACAGATCTTCTCATTTAAATGTACACTCCGTGAACCACACCTTGACTGGTTGCCTTGTTTGCCTGACATGGTTCCTTGGGTGTTAAGTGCAGTGATATGGGTGAACAATGGGTCACTCAATTTTAAACTTGGCTTTGGTTTAGTGCCACTCCATTTACTGTCAGGTGTAACGTCCATAACGCTTGCAAATACTGGATTATTTGCTGGCCTTGCCTTAATGTCCTTAATGTTTAGTCTCTTACCAGATTGTTGAATAGCGTCTGCCACTTCAACGAACTTAGTATGAATATGAAATGGCAACCTTTGTACAATACATGAACTTCTTGCCTTCATTTATTGCATTTTGTTCAACACTATTCTCAAATGACTGGAAAAAACTCCAATACTCCATAGGGTTGCCATCAAATATGGAGAGGTCTGGTTTGGGCCACGCAAATCCTTGCCTTATCATCGAGCCCAGCTTATCTAGCACATCTTCAACGATGGCAAAATCGTTGTCTACTGAATCTGTAGGAGAGGGTTCACTATCCGGCATGACTACGGGGTATGTAAACTCCTTCGCACGAGGGTTGAGCCTTGAACCGCGTTCAACTTTAGTCTTTTCAATGTGAGCTTTGACATCTTAAACTTTGGGCTCAACATCGCGTTTTGAACTAACTCCTCCAGCACATAAACCATGTTGTTTGAAAATGTTCGGTACTGCTCCACCAAAGGCAGAATAATCTTCTTCAAGGATCTTTGCTTGAGCAGCTGCCTGCTTAAGTTCATATTTAGCTTCTAGAAATTGACGTTCCATTTTCATTTCCTCTTCTTTTCTCTAAAGGCATTGTTTTCCCTTCAATTGCTCCATTTTAAGGCATGCCAAAGCTTCCTTGGCCTTTAACTGCTTAATAGATACACTTGTCTAGTTGTGACTTCAAAGAAAACCAATTGCGCTTACGGAATCTTCCAGTCAGATCTCTGTTCCCACATGAGCTCTAGAATGAGATTGTACTTTGTCAATCCACCGCTTCTGTAAAATGGACTCTCCTCCTACCATGACTTCCAAACACATCCATAACGAAATTGCACAAATCTTCGAATGAAATGTAATCGAAATCCACACATCAAAGAAGTTTGCACTTTTACTAGCGATTTGCTGAAAACAAACGCACATAAACCAGCTAAATATACAGAGCAGGAAACCAAAACTGTAGGGCTAGTAAACGCTACAGATATCGACGTCACAGTTCAAATGTACAAGTTCTAATCATGATGCGCATGTAAGCGTGAGAGAAAATAAATGTGATGGTGGGTGTGATTCAACTTAAAAAATAAATGAGACAAATACACCTAAGTACAAAAATATAACTACAAAAAACTGACAAAGGAGCAAAAATAAACTTACAAAACTGTGGCGACTGTCCAACAGGATAAATTCTACAATAATACTTCAAAGCTCACAACAGTGAGATGCAGCCAAGAAAAATGCGGTAGAAACCAGCAAAACTTATCTGCCAGCCGCTAACAAGCACTGGCGAAAATGAATACAAAACTATGCATAATGATGATCTTTTAAGTAGTAAGGAATAGGTTACATAATCCCCAGGGGTCGCGGAGAGACGTGAAAGCCAAATGCAAAGAAAATTCTAGTCACTACAAAAACAAAATACAAATAAAGCAAGCAAAAATGATGGAAAAATAACGAAACTTACAAGATTTGTGTGGCGACTACGACAACTAACACATAATGACAATGGAAACTAGAAAACTAGTGGCAGAAGAAGCTATACCAAACAACAGAAACAGCAGATGAAAAAATGTACACGAAAATATGAAACGTTACGTAATCGAAAATAACTTGCGAAACTAATAAGAATAACAAAATAATATACACAGAATAATTGAAAAACGGAAAACAATGGACAAAAAATCGTGAAGGCACAACAAAATTGGGGTGCCGTGACTAAACGGCTTAGAGACTTTACACAAGTCTTGCAGCCAATAACATGGTGACAAAACTGGCCAATCAGTTTCAAGGACCAAGAGACTTGACACCACTGACTTAAAAATTCCCTTGGCCCTGATAAGGAAGTGTCAGTCTCCAATAACAGTACCTTTCATAGCTATTCCTTCTCTTAAGCTTAATTAAGCAATGATGGTAGCGACGCCGAGGCCAACGCCTTATCAAAAATGAATTAAGAAGTTACCTTTGCCTTTTACAGTTGTGTAAATGTGCTCAGTACACATACATGTTTGGTCCTAAAAACATGCTTAGGCATGATATGTAATGACAGACTTCAATTCCAAACGGAAATTACAAAAAATTGCCGTCATCATTCACATTCCCCAGACTATGCAGAACTTGGCACGTCATCATTTTGCAAAGGATGGCAAAGAAAAGTACAGAGATTTATAAAGCACGTGCACAGCTATATTTCTGCTCATTAAACCTTTTGTTTGGTGACGTTCTTGTTGCTGTCATTAGCATTGTTTGCTTAAGCTCCCTATGTGTAATGGATTATAATTACATGTATATACTATGCTTATGCTATTTCTTTTTTGATAGTGTGGCCTCGATTCCATGTTATTCTGCTAGCTTTGGAAAAACAGAGGTTGGTATTATCATATTCTGTGTGCTTTTTAGTCCGAATTCCGAAGGATGGAGCACTATTAAAGTTAGCATATTTGGAAAGTTACTTCAGGTATGCATAAGTTTGGGCATATAATTCATGGTAGGACACATTTAGTCGCCTTCCCCTTCACCCCTTAAATGCTAACTGCAAGCAAACAGCAGTAAATAAATGCTAACCGCAAGCAAACAGCAGTAAATAAATGCTAACCACAAGCAAACACAGTATATAAATGCTAACTCCAAGCAAACAGCGGTAAATAAAAGCAAACTATATAATGTGCCCTACCATGAATTATATCCCCTAGTTTGATATCAGATGTTAGTATTTTTGTTAGCTTGACACAATATGACACAACAAATGTAATAACTTTGTTCGTGTGTAAACTTCGTGTAAGGGTGGGTGAGGGAGCATACATGTACCTCACATGGTAGTTGAGGCAAGTGGCCCTTTGAAAATTCTAAGAAATCGCCTCGTTCCCACTCCCCAGAGATTTTTTTAGGTGTTTCTTGCGTTTGGGGTTTTTCGTATTCTAGCAGTAATAGAAAGTTATTTTTGGATTGCATCATTCATAAAAAACATGGCATTGTGCTGAGGTTTTCTAATAGAGGGTAAAAATTTGTACTTGGAACTAAAACAGACCTCAAAAGAGTTCGAAGTTGTAAGGAATAAGCAGTAAGAAGACTCAACCAAATGTAAAGATGGTAATTATGGCTTAGAAGCGAGGATATTGTCCCTTAGGTTGCAAGATTGTCTGAACCAAAGGTTTCCCTGAATACATGTAAATCAAAACACTGCAGACAAATTTAAAACGGACTTAACAAATGTATCCCTTATTACGTGAAGCAGTGTTACAGTTATAAAGTGAGATTAGCATAACGTGCTAGTGGTCGGACGTGTTTTTCGTTGCTCCTCGAAATGGCGGAGTAACAAGTGACCACGTTCCCGAAGCTAATCATTGAAATGCCTGAAGATGGTGGAAAACCTAATGAGCCCAAAAGAGGAAGAAGTAGGAAATGTCAAAGAGGAAGCAGCTCCAAAACGGACGAAGAAACTAACGATTCTGACATGATTTGCGATCAACATGGCGACCAAGTTGACCAAGACGACGACCAGACAAGTGCTGTTCGCTTTGAAGAAATTAATCAGAAGCTTGACAAGCTGTTGACTCTTTGTCCTCTAATTGAAGACCTTAAGACCCAGCTAGCAAAGCTAAAGGAAGAAAATACAGAGCTAAAGAAATCATTACAATGAGCAATAGACGAAGTAAACGATTTGCGAAACAACCAGAATGAAATGAGAGCTGAACTAAATAACTCCAGAGACATGTTGCAATATGTCCAGCAAGATCTCCAGATGCAGACCATACGCAACATTAAAATTGAAGCTCAGTCAAGGCGAAGTAACATTAAATTCTTTGGAGTGCGAGAAGCAGAAGCTGAAAGTAACCCGTACGAAACAGGGAGGATCGTAAAACTTCTTCTTGTCAGCGAGCTCAAAATGCCGAAGGAAGACGTGGTGAATTTAAAATTCGAAAGAGTACAC